CATAATTAAAACAATAAAAAAGACACTATTGATCCAATATTTACGCTCGCCAATCTAAACCTGCAAATTCTTGTAAAGCATAAGAGAAAAAACGATGTCTGAACTCCGACCAATAGTGATGTTCACTACTGTTTGGGCACTAATGTCCGGAATAGGTTTAAGGAATGACTCGATTCTGCAAGATGAAAAAAAAATAATCACAACAATGAATTAATGAATAATAATAAAACCTTAACCGATACTTACAAAGGTAGCATTACTCTATATAAATATTTTTTGAGTCTTGTTATTTCCTCAGTGTCTTCATCATTAACTATCAGTGCATTTGTGATGCAAACCTAGTCGAAAATTGTTTTCTTTAGTCTGTCTTCAGTTAAATACTCCTACAAAGCAACATGATATATCTATTAATAATTGTTTTAAATAATAACACAAATCACATAATTCCCTTATAATACTCCTTTATGACTTCATGGCAACAATTTGGTAATACTGCACTCCTTTTTGGTCATAGGGAAAGTAGTTTTGTGTACTCTTCAGTTGTTAAAAATTTCGCAAAACTGCCATCACCTCTGATGTTTATGACATCAACATTAGTGCAACTATACATTGAGAAGATATTAGCAAAACTTCACATAGTATGGTATACCCCTTAAAATAAATACTGTACTTACGAGTACACATTATTTTTTTTCACAATCTTTGTATTCTTCAAAGAGTGGAATGAATTCTTTGAAATACTATTTAATGAAAACTATTGAGTATTTGTCACGTGCACTAACAAAGCAATGTCATACCTTAACCTTATTTAAGCCCGTTAAATTCTCAGAAGAAGCCCTAAGGATGCTTTCATGGGTTTCACTGGCTGAGGATTGAGCGAAGAAAGTGTTTCCGGTGATTTGATGAGGAGGTATTTGAGTTCCTTTTGCACAATAAACAGGAATAGCCAAAAGTTATTGATTAAATGTCTGAATAAGCACCAAAAAATCCTTCTTACCATCTTTCGTATCATTTCTACCTAACAGGCTGAATGGAGAATTCTTCACTATCATCATCGATTTTATAATCAACATGGTCTCCGTCATCCTCAGATTCATCATCGGATGATTTATCATTAGGGAGAATTGATCTTGGGTAGAGACAGTTGACGATTTTTCATCTAATAATAATAAATGATCATTTTCAGTATTATCATTGTTATTACTTTCCTGTTCGTATTGCAAAGAGTAATCAGTTAGTGGCCAAACTGAATAATAACCCAGCAATAATAAAACCTCACCTTATACGTTCTGGTACGTTTTACTGTCCTTTCTTTTTCATTAAGAAACTTCTTCGAGATCTTGGTAGTTGTTGACTTAGCATATTGTTGAATTTGTCCCGTTGTTACCATAGCAATGGTTACGTGTTGGTCCGCCTGTGTATTGTAAATGGAATCAAGAGTGAATGAATGTTTTGGCCTAGCATATTAAGTAATAAGGAGAATGAGTGAAGTACCTGCAACTTCTGAACTTTCGCCTTTGCTTTGTTCTCTTGCATATTGGTTTTATCCTCAATCAATGCATTCTTCACCACAATATTTTGTCTTTCATTTTGAAGTTTCCAAAAATGATTTATTACCGTTGACTGTTTACTTTTCTAACAGTGATAATAGGACAGAAGTTCTAAGTAATTTGCCTAATAGATTTTGTTCGATAACCATCCCACCCATGCAAGCAAAAATAGGAGACATCATGAACAAGCAAGCACACAGATTGTACATTCATCTTTCGTGAGCATCATGGATCCCTAAGTCTATTGAGTATAGCTCACCAACAGACACCAGTCGTTCCCACTACAAGAGCGCAGGTTGCAGGGTAGTTGGTGTACTCAATAATACATAGAGTCTCAAGGTGTTTCATAGAGTATAGCTCATCAACAGACATGCAGTCATTCCCACTATAAGAGCGCAGGTTGCAGGGTAGTTGATGTACTTATGCTCCTGAGTCAGAAATAATACACTTTACTTGTCTTAAAAGCATCTTTCCACCTTATCACTTCCTGTTTAGGTTCAGATACTTCAGCATAAATTTGCCAATTGTATCTAGTTCTTGCTTGTACCGATTGTACTCAGTTTGCTTATCTTCTAAGTCGCCAGCCAAAAGTCAAAAATCTAAAAATTTCTTGAGCGAAGGCTCTTCCGTGTCTTCCCAAAAGGCTAAGTAGTCAAAAATGATAGGTTACGTCGACAAAGTATCATAAAGACATCAGTAAAATTTATCTTACCAAGGTATTTCACAGCGTTAAGGCATTCGGGTGACAGTTGCATTTTTTTTTTACGAATGAAGCATCACGAAAAAATAATATATATCTAAGCCACAAAAAAAAATCAATCCGCAGTCTAGAGTGAAAAATAATTATCACGCTATAGGAGTTGACTATTAGTTTTACTCTTATATTGAAGTTATAGTGTGCGTATCTCAAAACCTTTATTTATCAACTTAACAAATTCATCGGTCAGAATTTTTTGTAAAAAAGCACCAAATATCTACTTTCAGATTGTAAACTTCGATACTGCGTACTGTATCTCATAGGAGGACTTTCATATTACAGTCAACCCTTGATATAACGAATTTTATGTCCTGAACTTCAACTTCGCTATAGAGCTATAGTGAATTTTTT